CTGAATACAACAAATGTGGGGACGACGAGAAAGACGCTATCGCCCGCATACGCTTTTGTCGGGACCCCGAGTTCGCAGTGCACTTTACCGATATCATAGACGACTCCGATGCTTGCTCGGCACAGATTGACGAGCTCTGGTATGGCGACTATCTTAGATGGAAGGATCACAAGCATGGTAAGGAAACGACAGCTCGGAATCGGCTGTTGGAGGCGTATCATTTTGTAAGTGGCCTCTGCCTGTAGTATCTACTCTAATATCCTAATAGCTTGGCCCACATATTCTGCTCAATCCAAACTTCTCGCTTGACCGTCTGCGACCAACACATACATCACCAACTTATCCAACACTGGTTGCGAAGATTGTTGCAAGTGCACCAACTACTCCACGTCAAGGGTATGTTGTCAACAGAGCTGCTGCGCTGGGGATAGTGCGAGCGTTGAGTGAGGGACTGGAGGACAAGCTGCGTGGTTTTATGAAGCGTGTACCGACTAAGGTAGGAGGAGGACAGTAGAATAGCAATTGTGTCTGTACTGTGTATGCCATTCAACTGGCTTGAGTCAGCCCCTATTGACCACCGGTGTCCGTTGCTCAGATACTGCTAAGCGAGTATTTGTTACTGTATTCCACTAGAGTCTATCACAGGCCAAGTATTAGTTTGTGAAAGATTGCCCAGACTTGTGGTACAGTGAATACTGGTTCATTATATAGCGCATACAGCAATATGTTATTGATGCTATAACTGAATCATAGTTGGATCTTAGACATGTCTGTATACTTATGTTGGCACTACTTTTTTAGACTTTATCAGGTTCAGCCACTAAGACATCTCCGATGAGTATAGCAAGATATTTCATTTTTACTACCAACACATCCATCCAGCTGGGTTGCTAAGTGTCAACATGATGGTGAACTGACTTCTTATAAATAAGTGATTATTTACAGATAGTGAATGCAGCAATGACAGCTTTATTTAGTTAACTATATGACTTCTGAGTCCTTGACTTAACTTATGCAAGTGTCTTGTTCTATGGTCATTTACATAATCTAGCCTGATGATGATGATAAGCCACTCAAGGCTAGTTGTTATATCTATGCTGACTCAGGCATTCTGATTTTCATTCTGTCTTTATTTCCGATATTTGGTTTTTATACAATAAAGATTTGCTGAGCATTTCCAATTATGCTGACTTATGATCTATGCAATCATCTATGCCTTGTTCCTTGCATACTCTTCCCTTACTGCTTTACTTATCCTTGTTCTAATCTCATTACTTACTTTATTACCATTACTTCTCATACTATAAATACTTTGATGTATTACTACATACTTCAGTTTGTAAATTAACGTTGCTGGTCTCTATCTCCCAATATTATCTCAACTCTCTCTTGTGGTCAACTAGAAGCCCTGGTCACCCAAACATCCTTCTGTGGTATTTCACCCCCCAAGTATTCTCTATGACTTCGGCTCTGTCTCTAGTCCTCTAGTTGACATGGCACTTAACACTAGGATTAAACCATTGAAATAACAAAAAGAGAGAGAGAGAGGAGGACAAGGCAAGGGTATGAGAAGGGAGATACACTTACCTACTCAGTCACTCAACCCTCTGTCTGTATCACATGACTAACAGGGACCAGCACTATAACAGATACAGTCTTTCTATATATTATCATAGTTTATCTACTAATATCTCAGCTATTGCTGTAATGTAAGATACTCTAAGCTAAATTGTTCATAAACATATGTGGGAGACTGTCTGACAAACTTTTTTTTCATTTCCCATGGCTATTCAACTCAACATTGCCTTGTTTGGCTTTTTTATAAATGCCTTTGATATCATCTCTCAAAGGTTGGCATCTAGTTTCTGATGTTTAAGCCTGAATTATGGAATACATGGGGCAAGGGCCACTAAAAGACAAATTTAGTTACATGTTCTTCTGTCTTTTATTCTGCTGCGTACTTTGAAGTTGTAATAAACAACAAACATACCCAATTCTATCATATACAGTATACTATACTATTTTAATCAATTTCTCAGGAGGTCTGCTGGGTGACACCCCTGACAAATTGAAATCTTTGTCAGCAGCAAAGCTACAGTGGGACTGACAAGAAACAGTGCCTTATGAGTCAGACTGGGAGAGTTACAACTCAGAAGAGGATTTTTATGAAGTAAGATAATATTTTTCAAGCTTATATAATTAAAAGTACCTATACATAATATGAATATCAACAATCACAATGTGTATAGTCAGCTTTCTAGTAGATGGACCCTTAGAGTTTCTTCTCTTTGGATCCTCTCCTGCTAGGACCTTGATCTCAGAGATCAGGGAGATATGCTCATGCTGCTTGACCTGTTAATCATTTGAGAGTAGTAGCCTCAGGATAATATAAGAATAGTGAAAGATATAATTATCTAGAACCCTAGTTGCAAGAACTCTCTGCTCTATCACATGACTAATAGGACTACTCAATCAAGTGTTCACAACTTTTTCAGAATTTAGGACTAAAAAATATTCTTTTGATCTATGGTGATTTTTAATGAGGAGTTTTTTTGCCAATGTAATGCATAACATGGAGACTTGATCAAAATGGTATAGTACTCAATAGAGGTACTATGTATAGCATTTTATTCAATTCAGCACCCAAAATTGGTATGATATTAGTGTTGAAATAATTTTTTTAGTGTCTGAGGGCTCTAAGTGTGACTACTGAAAATTTTTAGCATATTACGGTATGGCCTGCAGGCCGCCCTAACTAAAAACTGGTAGATCAGCCAGGGGAATTCAGCATCTAGGTGGTTGGGTATGACTACCAAAGAAATTTTAAGGCTGGTATGCTACTATATCTGTTAGTTATATATATATATATTATCATTGAATTATATTTTTTCTATTATTGTGTCATCTATTTCCAAGATGTCAAATACTTTAAACTAAACTAACTCCTTCTAGTTCTGATAGATATACTGTAGTAATTAGACCTCAAGTTCAGACCATCTTACGCATTACACATTTATTTCATTTACAATCAAGTTCATCAATGATGATCAGCGCATCAATTTCCTTATTTGGTATGCCGGCGATAGCCAGCTGCAGATTTTTGATGATATCTGTCAAATTTGGCAGATTTTGATGCATAATTTCCATGTTTACACATTACACATTTACAGAAGTTCAGTTCAGATAGGTCTCTTACACATTACTCGAACTTATGGTCTAATTACTACAGTAAACTGGTGCTCTGAGAAGCTGAATTTCTTGCCTCTATCCTCTATAATTTCTTAAAACTGTATATATATCCTTGCTGGGCCTTATGGACATGTTATTGATACCATGATTTACAATTATATATCCAGTGTCCAATATTCAAGCCACAGGTTGAAAATGTACTAGGTTAGTCATATCAACTGATTATAAATAATATTATTAAGGTAGTTCAAGCAAGGAAGTCTAGGCACTATCTATAAATATCATAAGCCTTGTATAGTGTTTACTTGCCTTCTTATATGGAATCTAGATATCTATTTAAAATTATTAAATATAAAATTTAAGAAGGACACTAGTCCTATTATAACTCTATAACAACACGAACTGAATATGGACATTAGCTGATGGCTGATGTTAGATGTGTAAGTGTCCGACTGCGGGTCGGGCTGTGCAAGGTCCTCTCCTAAGAATGCGTGCCTGGAACAGAACAGACAGATCGTCGGGCCCACGAGTACAGCGAGCGGGGTAGATCAAAACTGAAAGGGCCTGTTAACTTGGTCCCTTGTCACTGTCGGTGGTCGAAGGTTCAAATCGGGTCGTGTCAGGCCCGATGAGTCGGTGGCACCTCTTGCACGGAGAAAGGTAGTTCTTTAGACAATCTAAGCGATAGGGTACAAGGTACACTATCGCGCATTATATACGCGGGCCTGCAAAGGGGTGATCGGACACCCTGACCTCTCTTGCTCCTCCTCGCCCTGTTCCTGGTCGCAGAGGGGACAATCGTACATCCCTTGCGGGCCAGGCGCTACTCCTAACCTCCTAGCACTCCTCCCCAGTCCCCTGGTGTCGAGTTGGGCTCGGCAACGGCTCGACGCATCATTCTCGGTCACGTGCTTCCCATGTGTGCATTCCTCCTACTAGGGTGCATGTTGCCCGTCATCATGTGCTGCATGTTGCGGGCCCGCAATGGCCCAACACCAGCGCTGGAGCGGACGGGCTGGGTCTTATCCATAATAGTAAGCTTATATCACATGAGAACTTGATAAAATATAAGGCTGCACTACTACTGACTACTTCAAAAAATCATTAATAAAAAGTTTTCAAGGCCAGTTAGGGGGACTGACTAACTGGCATTATATGTATTGATGTCATCATACCACCTCTTGGTTCTTGTTGCATAAGTGTTATCTATAATGAATATTAATATTGATTATTTCATTACAGCACTACCACTGTGCTAAGCGAGTCTACTTGTTTATCTGATCTTTAGAGAGTTGGCATGACTAGATTGCAAGAGAATGCTGAATCACAATTTATTGCCTTTCTGGCCCTACCACTGTGCTAAGCGAGTATTTGTTACTGTATTCCACTAGAGTCTATCACAGGCCAAGTATTAGTTTGTGAAAGATTGCCCAGACTTGTGGTACAGTGAATACTGGTTCATTATATAGCGCATACAGCAATATGTTATTGATGCTATAACTGAATCTACCAACACATCCATCCAGCTGGGTTGCTAAGTGTCAACATGATGGTGAACTGACTTCTTATAAATAAGTGATTATTTACGGATAGTAAATGCAGCAATGACAGCTTTAGTTAACTATATGACTCCTGAGTCCTTGACCTAACTCATGCAAGTATGGTGTCTCTCACATAAGTACTGGTGCTATTTTTTTTTATAAACTTGCACAAGTTGCAAAATACTTAGTTGAGAATACTACAGTGTTCGGCTCTCAGTTGTGTGAAAGCAAGAAAGTTTATTATTCAGACTAGAGAAACACAGGCAGGTCTTAACGCTCTTGCAAGTTGTTGAGGAGACGGAGGATGCTGAGGACTGCGATGGGTCAGCGCAAGCAGGCACACAGAGCACGGGGACGCACAGAGGTTGATAAAGTCGAGGTAGAGGGAGACGGCGCCCATGATGTACTCGTCGGGCGAGAGGCGGGCGTTGATGAGGTAGGTGTCGTAGACGATGTAGCCCGAGAAGATCAGGCACCCGCCGCAGGCGTAGATGAGGTCCATCGTCTGCCCGAACGGGATGATCAGGCCGATGAAGCCGGTCATGCCTGGATTTATGAGTCAGGGTACATAGCGAGAGCAGAAATAACTGACAAAGGGCGATGAGGCCGCCAAAGAGGAACGGGCCCAGACCGTCAAAGTCGTATTTGGACTGGAGGGTGAAGAGGGTCAGGCCGATGAAGACGCCGAGCGTGATCAGACTGTGCGTATATAAGTTGGGTTCAGAGAAGATGCAAGACTCACAGAGCCTGGAGGACAAGGAGGTTGTCGTAGAACGCGACGACCACCCCAAGAGTGCCGGCCTCGAGCAGCGTGAACACGCTCAGCGCGATGAAGTTGGTCGGGAACGAATGGCGCTTCCAGTAGAGCACGCCGAGCGCGACAAGGGTCCCGAAGAGCGGGACGTAAAAGGCCCACACATTCTGCTGGACCCAGGCCACCGCCTCCTTGTTCTGCGATAACAGCCCGCCAAAGAGGACGGTGGCGAATATCTGGCAGACGAGGATGGTGAAGACCTTGCGGACGAAGGCGCGGCGGATTTGGGGGGAGCTGTCGGAGACGGTGGTGCCGTACTTGAAGTCGTCGGGCACGTCATGGAGGTCACCGTCTGGTTGGTCGAAGATGGCGTTGTTTGACCGGGACGGCCCAGCGAGCAGCGGCTCCGCTGCCTCATCACGGGTTTGTTTTGGGGCAGCTCCATAGGAAGGGGGTGGAACAGGATACGACGACATGGCGGTTAGAGTCAACCTGCGAGCGAGCTGTCAGCTTATTGCCGCATTCGGCCCGACACCGCCCTTCTTTTAGAGTTCGACAAACGAACGAGTCTACAATCTTGCCAGTAGGCGCGTATGTTACGGAGTACGGGTACTTGCCATGACGCTGCTGTCTGGTAACCACAGAAGCCAATCACTCCACAAAAAATCACACCCGAATATAGTTGTGTCTACCACTTTTTCCATTCCTTCATGCATCGCCCATGAGCGCGTCTTTGTCAACCAGCCAAACATCTCTCTCGCAGGCCCAGAGCACGTCGACTTCTGCCGCCTCTTCAACCACGCCGTTTTCGAGCACTTCTCAACCGCTAGTATCTTCCACGCGGCCATCGAACTCCACCCCAAGTGTGGTTTCCAGTACACAGACTAGCACCCCACCCAGCTCTTCACCGCAGCCAGCGTCCAGTCAGAATCAGTTGCCGACCTCCACGCAGACATCGGCCTCCACGGAACGGGCAGTTCCAAGCCAGAGCTCCTCTGTTGTCATAGCCCGACTCGGAACCTCTGACGACTCGTCGAGTTCGGTATCCGTTTCTCCTTCAATATCAATGTGGGTCATGGTGCAAAATATCCACACTTGCTCACTTGACCCACAGAGACAACAACGATTCTGCGTCTTCTAGCTCGGTGCAACCTAGCAGCTCTTCCCCGCCATCGTCTTCAGCTCCGCCCCCATCCTCCTCTACACCTCCCCCTTCAAGTTCGAGTACGGTTGTCTCGGTGTCATCGCAACAACTGAGCTCAAACTCTGATGTCTCTTCTTCCATACCAGACATCTCATCCCAACTACCTTCATCACTCGCAGCTTTACAGCTCTCAACGGAGTTGTCTATCCTGTCGTCTGGCGCCACGTCCTTTACGACCATAGTTACCTCGATTGACGGGCAACTAACGACCGTGTGTTGAACGCGTTTCCTTCATCTAATTTAGCCTGACATTTGGCCAGATAACCTCAGCCCTTCCTACCTCTCTCTCCACATCCAGATCATCTATAACCTCTGCCCAACGGACCAAAATCATCGCAGGGGCGACTGCCGCAGGTGTGGGAGTTATCTTGCTCCTTCTCGGGGCGCTGTTCGTGTACAAGCGGCACAAGAGCCGCAAACGGGAATTCTCCGAGGCAATCGGACGGGTGCGAAGAGAGGCGCACGGGGCTGGCGGAGTCGGCCTGCTGGACGAAGAGGGGCTCGACGATGACGACACTGTTCCGATGAGTCGGTACCAGGACAACGTTGTCGCGCAGGCGAGTACTTCTACGCTGGGGCCGCCCCAGTCACCTGCCCCATCAATTTTCCGGCAGCGGGCAGAGACAGGCTCGTTGTTCCGCGAGGAGGGCGTGTACCCGCCCCCAGGCGCGCAATTCGTCGACCCACTCGTCGGCATCGGGTCTGGTCTGGGGAGTATTGTGGATGACGTGATGGGCCCCGCGGAGGCGCACAAATCGTCGTCCATGTCGAGTGCGTCGTCGTCGCTCTATGCAGACCCGTTCCGGGATTTGTCACACTCGACATCCGCGTCGGACCCGTCGCTTTACTACGACCGGCCTGGGGCTGCGTCGTCGCTGTCGATGGCCTCCTCGCAGACGTCGTCGAACCGCCCAATAACGCCCCAATCTCTCCTGGGCCTGCCTGCTGGCGCTGCCCCAACCCCGAAGAAGTCGAGTCCCCTCGTGAACATCAGCGCGCCGCCGCCGAGCGCGGCCACGACCTGGCTCAATCGGTCGCCCAAGAAGCATGTAAGGGGGCTGTCGGGGTCGCAGAGCAGCCACGAAGGATCGTTATTCTGATATTGACTGTGCTTGATTTACATACAACCGTACATTACTTACGCCTTCGGACGACTTTACTTACAAATACGCTGTGGTATCCCACGATAAACATGAACCTATAAGTGACCTATACTGTACTTGATGTTACTCCGGGCGGGGTTTACAACGGAGACCGACTCCTGCTGCCGCAACAAACGTGAGCGTAACATATCACCACGCGTTATCGGAGAAGCCAGCGGGAGGACATCTACTCCTAAGTAACTTATTTTCCTCATACTCACACAAATTTGCGGCCACTTTCGTATGTTTATTAATATAATCGACCTAACAGCTATAATATGTCGTCTCCGCTGCGCAACAGCGCAGGGTATCATAACAAAAATCCCAGCTAATGCGTTTTACTCAGACGCGCGTACGGCCGGTGGTGGCAGCGCCCGTGCGGCCCGCGGTGCCGGTGCCGGTGCGCGCGCCGCCGCGGAGCCTGTTGGTGATGCCCGCCTTGAGCTTGGCCGCGATGCTGGACGCGACGTTGCGCAGCGCACCGCCGATGTTCGCGGGCACGCCCCCGCGGCGCTCGAGCTCCTCGTCGTCAAAGTCGACCTCCTCGTCGTGGTCGTGCTCCTCGTCATCAAAGTCACGTGCGGCGACGCGGCTCGTGCCGGTCACGCGGCCCGTGGCCTTCGCGGTCCCGGGGCGGCGGAGCTTCGCCGCGAGCCCGGTGCGCAGGCGCTGGCCCACGCTGGACGCGACGTTGCGCAGCGCGCCCCCGATGTTGGCCGGGACGCCGCCGCGGCGCGCGAGGTCGCTGTCCTCGTCGTCGTCGTCGGCAAAGTCGAAGAACTCGTCGTCGTCCTCGTCGTCCTCGTCGTGGTCGTGCTCGTCGGAGACGTCACGTGCGCGGGTGCGGCCCGTGGCCTTGGCGGTGGTCGGGCGGCGGAGCTTGGCGGCGAGCCCGGTGCGCAGGCGCGAGCCGACGCTGGACGCGACGTTGCGGAGCGCGCCGCCGATGTTGGCCGGCACGCCCCCGCGGCGTTCTAGGTCGCTGTCGTCGTCGTCGTCTTGGACGAGGGAGCTGGGTATTAGGTCAGCTTGGGTAAGCTGGATTATCGGATACGCACGTCAGCTCCGCCTCGATGATCTTCTCGATCTCGGGCATCAGGGACTGGACGAGCGCGTCCTCCGCGCGCGCGACGAGGCTCAGCTCGGCCCGGCGGTCGGCCTGCATCGCGTCAGCAACCGCAACCGCGGAAGAAGAAAACAAAGACGCCGTACGATGGGGACGGCGCTGACGGCCGTAAGGGACAGCGCGAGGGTGACGAAGGGCAGGATGAAACGCATGTTGACAAAAGGTCGAAAAAAATGAACACAGAAAAAAAAACAAAGACAAAAGCGGGCGGGGGAGAAGAGGGGAAAAAACGATCACAGATCGAAGAGGAAATGGGGGGACGAGCGAGGGTGGCGGCCAGCTTTTATACGCTGGATCACTGATGGCGTGTGCGGCCCCCTGTCTGTGGCGATATGGCGCGTTGCCACCCGACGACCGCAGAGCCGTGCAGCTCTTCAGGATCGTGTTGATTTGAAACACCCAAGGCCATGTGCAAGCCGGCAAGAGTGTGCGCGGCGCCGAGTGCGAGTCTCTTGGTCCTCGTGAAAGTCGTGAAACATGAGGTGATTACTACGACAAGAGCGCTACTCAAGGCGCATAGTCAACGCCGGCCGCCTTCATTAGATCCACGACTTCCACATCTAGAAAAACTCAGCCAGTGATTGGACAGGGCCGGGGCAGGCACTCACGGTCCTCCGTGTTCTGCATCCGGTGTGCAAACGCACAGCGGACGCCCGGGCCGAGGACGAAGTCGCCGCCGTTCTGGGACACCTTCCCCGCCTTGAACGCGAGCGCCGGGTACGCGAGGTAGCCCGTCTGCAATATTAGTAATGATCACATATGTAATCTGCTTACCTTGATGCTGTTGAGCGTGTTCTGCAGACGCGACAGCTTCAGGTAGCCCGGCCGCGGCTTGTCCTTGGGCGTGACCTTGAGGTTGTCGACGAGCCCGAGATGCGTGTACAGCGCGCGCGTCGGGTCCGCGTAGATCGCGCCCGCCCAGCCTGCGACCAGTCAGCACGGCGGGTTATGTAAGGGGCTGTCAGAACCTGTCATCTCTGCACGCAGATGAGCCCAACTCGCAGACGACTACTGCTGCTACACACCGTGGTACGCCTGGATGGCCGCCCAGTCGCCGCACCCGATCAGCACAATCCGGGTGCCCGCAGCAGCGAGCGCCGCCGCGGGGACCTGCGCCAGGTCTTCAACGTACATCTATCTTATCAGCACTTCACACATTGGGGTTCAGAGAACAGACCTTGCAGGACTGACAGAGGTCGGCTAATGAGGCACGTGTCTAGCTCGCACTCACCCCGCAGAAGAAATGGCCTGCCAACCAGTAAACTCAACAACGAGAGAGGCCGCATACGCACGGATGAACACCACGACCGTCTTCTGCTCCGCAAAGAGCGAGCCGAACGTGACCTTGTTCCCGCCGCCGTCAAACACCGCGAACTTGGCCGCCGCCTCGAGGCCAGCCTGCAGGCGCCTCACAACCAACCGGCCAATCGCGTAGCCTCTGACCCCATTGGGGTGATTATAGTCAATCTCCCGATCAAAAAAGCTCGCTCATCTTGTATTGACATCGGCCAAGAAGGCCCATAACATGCAAAGGTAATGCAAAGCACCCCATTGCTCTGGCCCCGCATGGACATCAGTAAATGTCGTCATCAGATATAATCATGCAACATCTCTGATCAATTTGCACCAGATGTTCGTGAGCGCCTTTCCATCACCCTCCCATCAAAACTACCCCGCAACGTCGCGCTGTTCCGGCAAGCTTTGCTCGCCTGCTGCTCCCGACGTCTGGAATCGAGACTACCAATTATGCTATCTATGCACGATTAATAATTGCCGAACCTAAGGTTTGGCTCTATAGAATCATGTTGAAACCAGCCCCCATATCGGGAATGGCTGTGCATTTCTATAACCCTTTTGGGACGAGCCACGTCATATCACGTGGTGCTGGCGGCAGCTGGCCACGGTCTTCCTGGCTTATTATGTAAGGTTCAGCACCTGCCGCTTGCGGCCTTATCCCTCCTCATATTAATATCACTCATGATGGCCCAGGGACCCGTCGATGAGATGAATACTTTTACTGCATATGCTGCTTGACGAGGGTTGAGCCCATAGCGATATGCGTCTCGATAACGATTGCAGTGTCGAAAGAAGTGCCAAATAGTGTCAATAGAAATTGCGTCAAGACACTCGGGCACCAATTTTTGGCAGTCGGAAATGAGCCGTCAGCCTGTTCACGGAAACCTGATGAAAATTGATTAGAGACAACATCAAAATACTCACGACGCCATTGGTCCGAGATCCGACCCTGGGAAAGTGAAACAAGCGTGGGAAAATTAAGATTGGAGGCATAAACGTCGTATTTTGGGCGCCTGAGTTCAACAAAAATAGTCAAAAAATCTACAAAATATTTCCCAGCCTTGACGGCTGGGAGCACTGTACCATCTACCCGAACACGTCCTCGCTGTACCGGCCCTCCTTCCGCAACGTCGCGAGCCACGCCTCCCGGATCAGAAGCGCCGCCGACCTGCTCCGCAATGCTCATCAGGCTATGCCGCCGCCCTGCCCGACCGGGTCGCCGAGCCGCAGACATACACGTGCCCCCGGACAGGTCGACCCAGACCTTCAGCGCGTCACGCGTAAGCAGCTGCTGGGCGAACCGGCGCGGCGCGTCCTCCTCCGAATACACCGCCTCAAGCAGGGCGGTGCTGTCCGGGCGAACCCGGCGACAGCGCGCGCGGGACATGTCGTGGTAGCTCGTGCCGTAGTAAAGCCGGAAGGGCGCGGTCTCGGTGACCTTGTAGCCTTGTGCGCGCCGATGTTCCTATAGAAATCAGTAGCTATTCAAGCAGCAAGGAATCCAGCCCCACCAAAAACCCAAGGAAGGCCGAGATGCCTGTCCCGGCGGCAACCATCGTGATGGGGACCGTCGGTCGTCGGGAGATGGAAGGTCTCCTGCGACGCCCGCGGCCGTGCCCAAACCGCATGTCCGACCGCGATGCGTTTCAAGAAACTCGAGCACAGTCCAGCATGGTCGTGGGCCACAACCCAGGGTCTTCCACGCCAACACACAACTTGGCCACGTGCGCGTTCACCCGAGGACTGCTCGCAATCGAATAGCGACGGGGCTGGGTCGCCCGGAGGACGACCAGCAGACGCGGGAGAGTAAGCACCTGCGAGAGAATGGGATAATTCGCCATGAGCGCTGAAGTTCCGATTCTTCTGCGCAAAGGTGGGGCATCAGCAACCCCAACAGCCGTCAACTCGTCGCGAGTCGCCTTGAACTTAGGTTCGTCAGCCGGAAGGAAAGAGGCCAGCACCTGCAGCGAGCCTTACCCTCCCGCATCCACCTCAACGCTTTACTCACCCATCGCAAAGGCTCGCAGCTCGCTAAGGCTCGCGAGGGCTCTGGTTATATACCCTCAAGTCTTACGTTACAGAAAAAAAAAATCATCTTTTTCAAGGTACGCGGCGCTACCGCGCGTAAAATACGGGTGTATCTCCTCTGGCATCGCGAGATACGCGTAAACGACGCGTCAAACGCGTAAAAACGCGTATCCCCGTGTGCACTTCCCGATCCCGATCCCCACCACCAACTCCATCCCCGTCAAACCAGCCCAGTCGCCGTCCCAACCAACTCCACCATCCCCGCTGCAGAACAGCGCCATTTGTCGATGTCCTTGCTGTCCCGCCAGACCACGAAGCTCCCGCAGAATGGGTGTCGCGGAGGGCAAGGAGTTGTTTGTCGGGGGGGAAGAGTTGTCCAAACCCGCACCAGGGGCTGTTGGCGGACAGCGGGGCAAGTTGTAGGCCAAATACTGCCAACCACTCCCGCCATAGTTCCGCCCGACTCGATCCCTTTCCCGGGTTGCAGCCTTCGCCGTGAACACCGCCGTTGTTGCCAAACCACGACTGGGTTGGTGATGGAGACCGACCTCCCGCGCAGAATGGGTGTCGCGGGGAGGCACCAGCAGACAGTACCGAGGGCGTTGCTGGAGGGTCCAAAGCCGCGTCAGGGCTCTCTCGCTCGCTCGCAACGCTGCCAGACCCCTCGATCACTGCCCACGACAGCCAAGATTGACGCGTTAAGGGAGCATCGGCAGTGTCGGAGGGAAGTCTCGCCCAGTTCAAGCATGCAACGCCAAGCCAACGGGTCCATCGAGGTCGGTAGTGGAGAACTAGCAGCTGATGGCGTTTGGGGGAAGGAGGTAGCGCAGAGGTCGGCTGATAGCGCTCGCGCAAGCAACTGCAAGTGTGGTACGGACAACCCGTTCTGGCAGCAGACAGAGGACTGGGGAGGCGGCAAGGTCGCGAGGACTTGGCGCAGGCGTGGTTGGCGCATTTTGCATGGTGCTAAGATGAAAGCTCTTGCTGGCCGGTTCAGGCACGTGCCGCCGGGTCGGCACCGCGGGCTCGAAACTGGCACGGAGACAATGCAGGAAGGGCGTCCAAAGTGCGTGTCCGTTGCTCTTACTCGCTAGTGTTGAATCCGAGCAGGAAAGGATCGTTGCAGAGGTGTTTTAGGAAAAGAATGGTCGCGGGAGTCACGTTTTGGTGAGGTTCCCGAGACAGCGCTGTCGCACAGGACTGCAAGTTGGTGAGGCCGACCCGCCTTACGCTTGACAGGTCGAGGCCGACTGATAGCGCCGCGTTGCGCTGGTCGAAACGACAAGGCGGGCATAGTACCGTAGAGCTCTTCCCAGCCACGTGCCGCGCCAGACGTGCGTTTGGTTAAGGTTGGCGCACAGTCAACGGGCGCGTTTGTCGTTGCTAATGGCGTTGTAGACGGCGGTCAACGGCCAGTTGGGCGCGTGGACACCCGTTCTGGCAGCAGACAGAGGGCTGTGGAGGCGGCGGGATCGAGGGACTTGGCGCTGGTGTGGTTGGCGCATTGCGCATGGTGGTAAGAAGGAAGTGGTGGGTGGCCGGTTCGGGCACGTGCCGCCGGCGGATGGCCCCGGAGGGGCTGAGGTCAAGCCCGCGCTCGCGTCATTGTCGAGTCGGGCATGGGGCGCATCGGCGGGGTTGGGGTCAACCGGTGACGACAGCGCGCTGGCGCGGTGGGCGAATTTGCTATGGTCGCAAGAGCGGCTGTTTGATCTGGCCACGTGCCGCCGGCGGATGGCTCCGGTCAAGACCGGGCTCGCGCCGTAGGGCCGGCATGGTCGACGGGGATGCAGGCACGTGCCGCAGACGCCTTGGGAAGACGGCAGGCGTTGGAGCCAACATGGAGGGACAGAGCGGTCGCGCCGTTGGCGCGTTGGGTGTGGTAGTGGGATGAAGAAGCGCGGGGCGGGGAGGTGCCGCCAGCGGAGGCCCAAGTCGGCCAGAGTAGAGCCCGTCGTGGTGGGAAATTGGGATGGACTGCAATAGTTTGGGCATTGGGAAACAAAAAGACTTGGGTGAAAACTCACAAGGGTGTAGTTGGCAGCGCACTGCTGCCAATGTTTGCGTTGAAAGTCCTCCCGTATGTTGGCCTCTGGCGGCAAAATCCTGGAAAAAATGACGTCTTAAATCGTGTTTTTTGAGGTCCAAATGACACCCCCAAAATTATCGGATAATCGGGTGATCGCATCAAAAATCGGTGATGCGGGCGGTTTGGAGCGCAACGAGCGGCGCGACGCATTGGGCACACTAATATCAATGTCAGTAATGGCACAATGGAGGAGAGGGACAAGGGCTCACCATAGTGAAAGACCACAGGAGGATACCAGCGTTGATGCGCCTGCGGCGCCAGATGCGGGACAGCGGAGCGGGGTTGGCGAAGGCAACAGACACAAGAGGGAAGCCAGGGAGCAGAGCCCTGGCTCCGAGGCGTTGAAGTCCAGAGGGACGCTGGGCCTCCGGCCGTCAAAATCCTGGCGCAAAAGTGAGTTTTGATAAGGCAAAAAGTGGGCCGAAAAATGCTTACGTAATCAGCAATTGATCCATCATTTTCAGTGGAATTGCAGGCGCGATGAGGAGTGCAATATGGTAGGGACACTGATATCAACGTTGGTAATCTTGCAATGAACAGGAAGGACTAGAACTCACCAGAATTACAGTGCGCATGACGATCTTGGTATTGATGCTCTGATTGATGTGCAGCGGTGGTCGGCATTGAGCTGGCGAAGGCAACGGACACAAGAGGGAAGCCAGGGAGCAGAGCCCTGGCTCCGTGGCGTTGAAGCCTAGAGGGACGCTGGGCCTTGGCCGTCAAAATCCTGGCACAAACGTGAGTTTTTTAAGGCAAAAAAGTGGGTCGATATACGCTTACGTAATCACCAATCGAGCCATCATTTTACGCCGATTTTCAGCGAGACTATCACGTTCTGCAAAACAAGTTAGTACATGAGCGAGATTCAGCAGAGACAACACTCACTAATGTTGTGCCTCGGGCGTAAGCCCATGCCAGTGCCATGTGTCCGGAGGATGGTCTGCCGACGCCAGGGACTAAGGCCGTGTGCGTGAAGGACTTGGCAGTAAAACGGCGGGAGGTGAGAGGGAGTCCGATGTGTTGGGCAGCAACGGGCCAAGAAAGACGTGTCGAAAGCATCAGCTCCACTGATGCCTTGACACCGGCGCAACGCAGAAGAGCTGATAGTGAAACGGCCCAGCGGGAGGTCCTGCGTCGCTGGGTCAGCGCAAGAGTGACATG